GATCAAAAAGTTTCTATATGTGACACGGCACCAGAGTTGTTAGGGTTTTTCAAAATGCTGACACGCCGTGCTCAAAAGGTTCGCCATCACTGCTTTAGAAAGATCTGCCTCCATGCTCCCAGGGCAGGTTCCTGCTTCAAACTCCGCCCTTACAGGAAACAGCTCTGGGAAACAGCTTGGGGGAGGGCGCAGCCATTGCCAAGACAACCCCTGTAGGACTGACTTCCTTCCGCTTGGTCGCAACTGTTAGTTTGTATGTGATGAACACCACCCATGGTTTTTATATAGGTAGATAGCCAAGATGGAAACAACCCAATGAATGGATGAATAAACTGTTGTATATATTCTTCAGCCATAAAAGAAAATGAGCCCGGCTGGCACGGCTCAGGGGTTGAGCACTGACCTATGAACCAGAAAGTCACAGTTTAATTCCTGGTCAGAGCACATGCCTGGGTTGCTGGCTCAATCCCCAGTATGAGGCGTGAAGGAGGCAGCCAATCAATGATTCTCTCTCGTTATTGATGTTTCAATCTTTTTTCTCCCTCTCCCTTCCTCTTTGAAATAAATAAAAATATTTTTTTAAAAAAATAAAGAAAGAAAATGAAATCTTGCCATTTGGGCATGATGCTAAATGAAATTAAGTCAGAAAGACAAATACCATATCCCTCTTACATGTGAAATCTAAAAAACATAAAACATGGAGCATTTGAGATCTTGCTTCCTGGTAATTGTCATCATCTTGGCTCAAATAAACTCATAAAAAGTAAAAAAAATAAAAAACACAAAACAAAACAACCAACACACCAACACAAGCACAAACACACTAAATCCAAGCTATAAATACAGAGAACAGATTGGTGATTGCCAGAAGTAGGGGTTGACAGGTAAGAGAAAAAGGTAAGAAGAAGGGGGGGGAGTGTCAAAATTTTTAAAAAAATTATTTTTAAGTTCTATTAACTAGTAGTTTCCCTGTATAAGACATGAAGAATTACCCAAATATTTTTTCCTTCTATTGGTTGGTAATCCTTATGATATATGGATACTTTTAAATTCAGTAGTTGAGAAATACTTACGTGAATGGGAACTTGAAATCATTAGGCTTAATACAGCGCACATAGTGAGGGGTAGTGGCATTCAGGGTCTCCATCAGCAGGTGAAGAGAATTTCGGAACTGCATGGGAAAGAGCAGAAAGGGGCATCAAGGTTTTGTCAAAGCCAAAGATGATGTAAAACCAGTTAAAATTTTCTCTTAATGACAGTAGTAAAGATTGACCCACCCTCAGAAGGGGAGTTATCAAACAAGAATGCTTTATGTTACAATTTCCTTAAATTCTACCATTTATATGCTCACTCTCCTAACTATACATTCACTCTCTCCCATGCTTTTTCCCACATCCCCCTTTTTTATAGGCTGTTTCCTTAGAGCAATTTTAGGTTCACAGCAAAATTGAGAAGATAAAGGGATTTCCCATACATCCCTTATCCTCACACATGCACAGCCTTCCCCATTATTAATATCCCCCAACAGAGTTGTATATCTGTTATAGTTGATGGACATAAACATTGTTATCTCCCAAAGTCCATTGTTTACATTAGAGTTCGGTCTTCCTACTCCCCTTTTAATACACGGCTCTGCTGTTTTCTGTTGGGAACGCGAAATTCTGACTAAAACTATAACCTTGCTTTATGAAGATTAAGGCCATTTAATCATGTAGAATGGGAGTTTAGCTGTAAGATACTGAAAAATATAACAGATGACAAGAATATAGGCAATGAATGGGAGAATGGGAGAGTACAGCCAGGTGGGATTACCATTAGGGACATGGGATCAGGATGCAGGCAGTCGATCTGTGTCTGGCCCTATTTCCTGTCTGCACCAGGCACAGGGTCACACACACAGGAAAACAAGCTGGCCAGTGCTCAGCCGCCTGTCCGAAGCCTGGGCCACTGTTCAGGCACTAAGCATGCATGTTACGTTTTCCACTCCCCACGGAGGATAAGACATCAAAAACAAGGAGAGGGCACTGTTCCAGTTGAAGGAGCTGATGTTCTGTACAAATCCAGAGAGGAAGCAACCAGAGAATAAAACAAAGGCAACAGTGGTCTATAAGGATGCAGAATTAAGACGCAAAAAACAATATTTGGAAAAGGCTTAATCAGAGTCACAGGTCTAAAGCTGGGTGGAGGGCAGGAGTGGATGGTGTTACACATTCTCACAGTGAAAGCTCCAGCCTCTCCTCACCTGAGGATCCCACCTGGGAGGCTGAGGAAGGAAGACCTGAGGCTTCAGCAGAGCCAAAGAGGAAAGAACACCACAGAGTGGTTTCCTGAACTCACCTGGTGCCCCACCGTTTTCTTGTGCTCTTTGGCTGTCTGGCCTGGTCGACCTTTGGTGGGCTTTTCAGGAATGCGGGTGAGGGGTGTGCGCCCTGAAGAGGTGGCTGAGGTTGGGCTGATGGCCTTCTCATCATCTTGAAATAATTCTGGTAGCATCTTAAACTGAGTCAGAAAGCATGAAAGAAAATTACACTCTAAACTCAAACTCAAAATAAATAAATAAAAATAAACTCAAACTTAAATGTAAACCTTTACAGAAACATGAAGATTTGCAATCCATAGTGATTCCCTTCCTTAAGCCAACTCTTTCAGAGTCACACTCCAGAAATAATCAATATCTGTGTGGGAGCCAAGAGTGTGAGAGGAAGGTGACATTTATGGTCTAAAAATATAGGTGGGAAAATGCAACAATTCTACAACCATGTTTGGGGGAAACAAAATAAAAACTACTCCACTAAGACTTGAAATCCTAATTGGTCACTCTAAATATATTACTGAGTTTGAATTATAATTATTTTATGAGAAAAATACTAATTGAAAGTCCTATTTTATTATCTTAGTTCCACAAAATGCTTTATCAGCATGCTTCATTTATCTACCCACTAATTCAAATGGTGAGCACCAGCTAAAAAATATCACAGAAAATCTCATCAGGAAGAATGTCATGAACTAGTTCTATAGTATTATAGTATTAAAAATAATTATGAATCAATACAAGTTTTTAGAAAATAAGTTGGATTATGGGGGGTAGATGGGGCAAGTAAAAAACCCTGTCCTTATCCTATAACTTTTATAGTTGTTTTCAAAGGATTTATAACTTGATTGTATAACTCCTGTAATCAATTTTGTGTTCTATCAGTTTAGCAATATGAAAGATTATCAAGCCCTCGCTAGTGTGGCTCAGTTAGTTGGAGCATTGTCACGAACACCAAAAAGTGGCCAGTTCGATTCCTGGTCAGGACACACACCCAGGTTGTGGTTCAAGTTTCTTTCTCACATTGATGTTTCTCTCTCTCGTCCTCTCCTTTCCACTCTCTATAAAATTAATAAAAGCATTTTTTTAAAAAAAGATTTTCAAAAGGTTTGGCATTTTGTAATTGGGTGGATGGTATAAGGCAATATGATAGGGAGAAATTTTATGGAACAAAAGAGACTTCAATGGAAAAAATACCATAGGGTGAGGATGACAAAAATAAAATAGAGATAGATACACAGATATGTAAGTAAGTAGGTATGCCTGGACAGTCCATCTTGTTTCTTTGATCCGTCTAGTAAATAGTGTTAAAGAAAACAAAATAATCAAAGTAGCAGCTTCAAGAAAATGTGGGAAATCATTTCTGTAATAACATTATTCACTAAGAGCTTTTTATGAATGAAACACTACTCTAAGGGCTTAATGAAACCTATTTAATCCTCATAAGAACACCTTAGATACTATTATGATTCTATTTCATATATGAGAGATCTAAGGCATAAACTTAGTGCTTCCCCTCATCAATAAGCAACATGGAAAGTAGGGGTTACAACTCTTTTTAATGGTATTTGGTACAGTTGCAATTTAGTAGTATTTGGTCGGGTTGCAATTCATTTATATGCTCTCTGATATTAGATGTGGCAACATAATCTATGTTTTATCACCATAAAGAAATCTTAAGACACTTTTTGTTAAGTTTATAAGACCTTAGTTCTTTTTCAAGTTGAAAATTTGGCTAGAGGCTGCAAAATTAAAGGAAACAAAAGACAAAACACAGACACATACAAACTCAACCTTACACTGTATTACCACAAAATAATTCTATTTAAAACATTTAACACAAATATTACCCTTTTAAAATATGTCGAAGAGAACAAATAAACACTATATTATACTTGCTTCCTATCAGGTGCACAGACATTAACATATAAAGTCCATCCATTTAGGTTGGGTTTCTGAGTGGATGGGTTTCGGACTGGGAGCAGGGGAGGCCTTTAAGATTCTATGTAAATCACACACTGTCCCCATTCCAATAGCAACAATGCTGTATAGACTGGTAGTCACTCCAAATGATTCCTCAGAATGTATACCTACCTTCTGATAATTAAGCTGATAATTAGCCAATCAGAAAAGTTAAGCCAGAATAAAGATACAATTGATATGGGTACCTGGGGGATGAGAACCTGTGAATATTCTATTTAAGCTAATTACTTAGGCAGAGTAGTGATGCTAGAATGTCATGGTTTTCATCACTATTCATAAATCAAAATGATTTATAATCTTTAACTGAGTAATACTCAGGCATTGGCCTGTGAGAGCATTTTCTCTTCTACACCAGTCTCATAAGCTATCAAGCATTAATGCCCAGTGCCTATGAGGATAAGTAAAAAACTGACTTTCTCACGAGACACTAGACTCATTATTTCCTGAGGCATAACACTGGAATCTGGTCTTTATATGTTCCTTCTATTATCAAAAGAATTGAAAGCAAACATTTTATTCTAAAAACAAGAGTCAAAATGTTCATATAATATTACATTGAAGTTAAAAGGATTGTCTTAGAATAAACCAGAAAAACTGGCAGTTTTAGAATAAACTAAAAAAAAAAAAGTGCCAGTCAGTAATCTAGAAGAATTTGATGAATATACCTATTTTTTTATTAAATAATTGAATATTAATTTTGCTAAACTGAGTAGCTTGCTTCCTGGTTTGTTCCCTATAGAATGGAAGTGAGCTGTCCTTCCCCTTCCATCTTTTCCTGACAAAAGTTAAAGGAATGAGACTGAGCCCTAGCTGGTTTGGCTCAGCAGATATAGCGTCGGCCTATGGACTGAAGGATCCCAGGTTTGATTCTGGTCAAGGGCACATGCCTCGGTTGTGGGCTTGATCCCCAGTAGGGGGCGTACAGGAAGCAACCAATCAATGATTCTCTCTCATCATTGATGTTTCTATCTCTCTCTCCCTCTCCCTTCTTCTCTGAAATCAATAAAAAATATATATTAAAAAAAAAAAAGGAAGGAGACTGGGGTCAATCTAGTGTAACCATCATAGTTCCTTGCCCTCTGGAATATTCTTTTCCCACTAGGAAACAGTGTTTCTAGAGTCTATACCAAAGAAATATAATTTTGAAATGCTTTGGACCACACCTGAAACTGCACTCAATGATTCAGAGATTAATCTCCATCTGAACAGAGTATGTAAGGCCATGTTTCAAGTGCATTCCTTAAATGACACAGCAAAAATACTGGTTTTCTCTCACAGTCTCCCACAGAGGCACAAGAAAAGCCAGGAACTACTGTGCGGGCAAAAATGTCCCATAAAACGGAAAGACAACACTGCACAGTGGTTAAGACACAGACTCTGAGCCAGACAGCCTGGGCTCTAATTTAGCTTGAAAACTCATTAGCTCTGAAGTCCCTGAGCCTCAGATCCCTCGTCTGTAAAATCAGCAGGATAATGAGAATGTCACCTCATTATGAGGATGAGATGAGTTAACATTTGTATGGCATTTAAATCAGGACCTAACACACAGTAAGCGTTGTACATCTGATAAGTAAAAAACTAACAATAAAGCTGACTTTGTTAGAGAAATCATTATTATTGTTTAAAAGATTATGTTTAATTAACATTTTGTTGAATATATCCTGACTGAAGAAAACCAAGTACATGGTTACCTTGCTTGATTTAAGAACTGTAATTTTTTCTTCATAAACAGTGTCTTTATTCTTTTCCAGAAAGCCTTCACACTGGTATTCCACCTGAAAACACAGAAAAATCTCAACTTATACAACTTTTGAACAGAAATCATAATCATCAACAACAAAATATTTATTAAGCTCAGGCTAAATGACTGGGGTTTTATGCTAAGAAATTATAAACTTGGTAAGAAGTATGTTAACCCTAGAGTAAAACAAATACTGTTTTTCTTAGGGAACAATGATAGTGCTGAATAACTGTGGTCTAAACGATCCTCCCGTCATGGGTAAGCAGACTCATTTGAAGTTCATTCTCCTCTCCCATGTTGGCAACTCCTTCAACGCTGACCCAGTATATCTCCTAACCTAGCTCACCATCCAGCAGGGGTAAGTCTCCTCTTGGGAGAGAAGATCATAAGGAACAAATATCTGTCTGATAGAAAGAAAGTAGAAGAGCTGATGATGGGTGGAAGTGGAGGCTGGTGAATACTATGATTTGGTAAGTGGAATTACTTGAGAATGGACTATTACTGCTTCCAAAACTCCAGTGGCTTCAGCCAACTACTACTGAAGGGGCTCCCAGTTTGTGCACCACAAGCCCTTAGGTGGTCCTAAAGTCATTCCAAGGTTTCCAGCCAGAATTAAGGAGGACTCAGAAAGCCCCTAAATCCTGAAAGAGACCCTGAGAAGCTTACTCCAGAGCCTACCCTATAACCTCCTTGGAACATAAATTAATCTTACAGCTCCTGATTTTCTCACTAGACTATAGAACTTGTGGAGCAGCAAGTCTGCCTGTCTTGTTACCAGAGGCCCAGTAAATCAATATTGGAGGGTAACACAAGCTCACAACTTCCATTCTGAAACCCTTGGGGTCAGCTATACTTTAGAACTCAGAATTTTCCAGCAAAGTCCGAGGCAGCAGTGATCAAATACATTATCATTTCTACAGTGCAATATGTAAATACCTAGCTTAAATAGGATAAGTAAAAACTATATATAACCTCATGTTAGTTCAGGTCAGAGATCAGGTTTAGCCACTAATAAATTATGAAAAGACTTTTGATTTTCAGAGTTTCTTGACTTTCAAAATTATAGACAGAGGATTGTAGACCCATATTTACTTCATAATTCCATTTAGGTTAAAGGAAAAGAAAAACAACAAGCCAACAGTGAAGATTACTTTTCCTATAAGGCCCTGAAGAATGCAAACCTCAGCCAAGAAAAAAAATGGCACCTCTTGAATACTCATGTTTTCCTCTCTGAACTTAAGTATTCAAAAAGAAAAAAGATAATACAGCTTCCTTACTTTGTCAGCAAAATGTTGGATGATGAAAGCTTTGTTTGACAGACGGGGCTTTTCAAAGAGTGCACATTTGTTCAAATGTGTGTTGTACAATTTCTGGGCCCAAGTGTCATCTGTACCTTTAGGCATCTACATTTAATGAAAGAAAAACGGAAAGAAAAAAACACAAGTGAGTATTGTTATGAGACTTTTCTAATGCATTAATTAAGAGACCATTTTTTGGCTTCACCTACCAAATTTTATATTCAAACTAGAGGCCTGGTGCACGAAATTTGTGCACTGGGGGGCGGGGGGGGTCCCTCAGCCCAGCTGGCACCCTCTCCAATCTGGGATCCCTCTCACAATCTGGGAATGCTGGCTCCCAACCGCTCACCTGCCTGCCTGATTGCCCCTAACCACTTCTGCCTGCCAGCCTGATCACCCCCTAACCACTCCCCTGCCAGCCTGACTGACACCTACCTGCTCCCCTGCCAGTCTGATTGCCCCCAACTTCCCTCCCCTGCTGGCCCGATCGCCCCCAACTGCTCTCCCCTGCTGGCCCCGTCACCCACAACCGCCCTCCCCTGCTAGCCATCTTTGTGGCAGCCATCTTGTCACCACATGGGGGCAGCCACCTGGTGCGAGGGTGTGATGGTCAATTTGCATATTACCTCTTTATTATATAGAATTAGGAATTTATTTCTTCCACATTTCTCTCTTAGAGGCCAAAAACCAATTATTAATGGAGAACAAAGACTGAGACGTCCCCATGGGCAGCTCAATCTGCCTTTAGAAGGGGTCATCAAATAATATTTTCTCTTAAAACAATAAAAGTCTCACTAATAAAAGATGAAATATGACTATCAAGTATTTTCTAAAAATATGTTAAATAAAGATAACATGTGCATATATTGAAATATTCATATAATTCAGAGAGATATGAAATGAAGGGTAGTCTCCTCTCACCACTTCCATTGACTTCTTTATCTTTCTGTCTCTAAACACATATACATAAATAGGCTCATTCTCTAAATTCACTGCATCTTTCTCTCTTTAATAATAGCATTCTTATATTTATGATCACTATGTTTTTACTGATTTTGGTAACAATTACTTATTTTACATATATATCCTAGATGCTTTTCAAGTATATTCGTAGGGTAAACTCCCATCAGTTCCACTGCTGAGTCAAAATATATATGTATTTACAACTTTGATGAATATTGTCAAATTCCTTTAAAATATGTTGTACTAATTCATGCTCTTCATCAAGAATATATACACAATAAATATTCATTTGGTAGTATCAAGTGAAAGGTATTATTAAATTTAAAATCTTTTGATAGGTAAAACAGTAACTTGTTTTTGTTTTGACTCACATTTTATTTAATTTTGAGCTAGGCAAGGACCTTGTCACTATATGCATTCTGAATGCAGTAGAAAATCTGAATGCTTATAAATTAAATATATTAAGAGAACAAATAGGTATTTGTCTAAGATCACTCAGTTAGCAGTAGAGCTGGGAATCTCCTATTTTTCTAACATACTACATCTTCAAATTTAAAGCTAAAACTCCCTCCCTAACATACATATCAGTAATAAAGAAATAGTTAAATTTTAAATGAATATTTAGAACAATTGTTCAAAATATATTTTGTAATTTATTGCATTTCTTTAAATATATAATACCAATGAACAAAAAGTACCAAATATAAGCATACTGATGAACAGAAGCAGCTAAAATTGGTAGTAGTTGTATCAAATGTTAATTTTTCACACAATTTAGAATCAAGTGAAAAGAGAAGGGAATTCTCCTAGTTTCATTTGTATTTAAAGGCCTTTAGTTCTGATGACCCTTCAGAATGCAAGTTAGAGTGATCTCTAACTCATGGCAACTCATGGGATACTATGAATCTCTGCTTAAACCCACTTACTTCCTGACCTTGAGATATCTATTTGGATACACTAAGTACATCAGGGAATCATACTTACTTTGCATTCCTCATCCAGCAAATCTAGAATGCCCAGTTTAGATTCTATAAGATTAATGCAAGGCTGATTATCATAAAAATCTATGAGAGTCCATGGAATTTGTTCCTTCATATATTCCTCTTGTTCTAATTTGAAGACATGCTAAAATGAAAAAGAAAAAAGTGGCATTACTGCATTATTATCGTAAGTAATGTTACTCAAGAAATAATCCTATATAATAAAAGGCTAATATGCAAACAGACCAAATGGCAGAACAATCGGAAAAACTGAACAACCGAGCAGTGAGAGATGGCAGGGGGAGTGTGAAGAACATGGTGGGCATTGGCCGTGGCAGGATGGTGAAACTGGTGAGTGGGGGCGCCAGACCACGGCCAGGCACTGGTCGCTGTCATTGGGGCGATCTCGGGTGGTTACTGAAAATTCTTCGCTCCTGCATGCTGTGGTCCTGCCGGCACTTGCACCTGCTGCTGGTGCCAACTTCACTTGCACCCGCTGCCAGTGCCAGAGCCACCACTCACACCACTGCCGGCACCCGGTGCTGGCCTGGATCGCTCGGTGCCATCAGCGGGTGTGAGCAAGGGCTGCCAGCCCCAATCGCCCCTCAGGGCTTTGTGCCTTCAGCAGGTGCAAACAGGGCCGGTACCACTGTCAGCACATGGGAGTGGTGGCAGCGGGAGTGGGGCTGCTGGCAGACAGGCGACCAGGGGCTGCAGCAGGAGGAGCTGGGCTGGGGAGCGGTAGATGGGCCAAGACCCACCCCTATGCCTACCACAGTTCCTTTCAAGGTACATGAATTCATGCACTGGGCCCCTAGTGTTTATATAAAATACTCTAAGATGCTAACATAATTTGAGATAGTCCATGGCTTCCAGCAACAACAATCTCTGGGAGAAACATGATTTCTACAAAGAGAACAATCAAATAAAGCAAATAAAAACCACAGACAGTAAACAACTATATAGGGTTCTTGATGAACAAGTAAGTCTAGGTATCTGAATGTTTTAAGTAGCTGATAAATGTAGCAGTTTTCAATTTTTGATATGTATTCATCCAAACTATATACTTTTTGGCCTCTTAAGTTATTGCATAGTGCTGTTAAAACATGGGCACAGTCTACCTTAGCTGGCCGTGAGCAACTCTGCAGAGTGGATATCCTCCAGACTACTGAACCATGCTGGGAGATGCTTACAGCATAACACAGACATTCTCTTAAAGTCCATGTGTCTCAGAGTTAGGTAACAGTGAACTTTTATGTCTGCCTTGATTATTCTCCACAGTCAGGAAACCCACTGCTCACTTTCCTGGATTCTACATCCAAATCTGCTGGAGCCACTATCAACTCATGCTATTTCTGCTAAATGCTTCAGCCACCACTCTCACCATTGCTTCTAATCTCCATTCATTCATTTATGCAAAAATATGCATTGACTGCTACTATGTGCCAGTCACCAAACACCATCAACAAAATAGATGTGGGCTCTGCCTTCCTGGAGTTTGGAGACTAGTGGAAGAAGCAGACAGAAATAAAATAATCACAAGGAATATAATTACAAACTGTAATGTTACAGAGGAAAAGAATGTGAGCTATGAGAGCCAGCGTCCTCATCTGGTTTGGATACAGCATGGTGAGGGAAGGCTTCCGAGGAAAGGCTGTGTGGCTGTGTGATCTGAGCTCCACAGCTGAATGGGAGTTCAATGGGAAGAGCAATCCCATCTCTGCTCCCACCCAGCCAATCAGGCCACCCACAACTTCTAGTCTCTACAGATGCTAATGACCTCCATTTGTTAGTTCTGGAGGTTTCTGCTTTCCTCCACAAGTCTTTCTTATCTCTCTTGGTTTGCAAATACTTTTTGCTACTTTTCTGGTAAAATTAGTCCTCTGTGGCTGTGACCAGGCAACACATATTAGGACCCCAAACCCCGTAAAACTTAAGTGTCATCAAGACTTCTGATGCATACTCTCTTGTAATGCCGCTCTTGGCCCATGTCCAGCATTTGCAGTCTAACCAGCTGCAATAAGCTTTAGTAAAAAATAAAAATAAATAAAAGAAACACCAAACAACCCATAAAAATAACCTGTATGAAAATTTATGTCATGCTAATTAGAAAGCAGATTTCTTCTATTTTTTTTTTTATTAATGAGAAGGCAAATAGGCACCATGTGTCAGCAGGATGCCCTCAAAAAATGAGCCCTCTTTTTAATTCATTAATTTATATGCAATCTCCACACTGACAAAGAAACATGACTCAGGCTTTAAACAGACTTTTTTCTCACACACATATCTATGTCTAAGTTTGGAAAAGTGGATGGGGCCTCAAAACTTTTGACTGCTCAATTGTCAAAAAGACAATGTGGGCATGGGTTTCAATATGGCAAGAGATCCTGGTCAACATGTAATGCCTCCAAGCAGTAAACATGCTTTTCATGCCCACTGACATACCCACAGCCTTGCTGAGGGAGCAGCCCTAAGCAGCCAAGTTCTTTACTGTGAGACCTCATGTTCCTAGTCGCAGCTGACTAAGTGTAGGTATTTAAGGGCACTCTACCACCAGAAACCTCTAATGAAAAAATAAAGTGGGTTATCAGTGGGAGCTGCAGCTTAAAGAAGTCAAGAAAAATGGGAGTTAAGCAAGTTAAGAGAATGGTAGGCACACTCCAACAACTGCTGGATTCACAGGAAGTCTGAAGTGAATAAGCAGAAACCTTAAGGTAAAGAAAATACATACAGAATAGAAGGAAAGAATATGCCACCTGATAATAAGAGGGAGCAGAGCAGTTGTGCAGAGAGAGCCTAAGATGCAGTATGGGGTATGGTGTGTGTGGATGTGGGGGAGAGAAAAAAAGAGGGTGAGAGAGAGGAAGAGAGAGAATCAATTTGTTGTTCCACTTATTTATGCACTAGAGGCCCAGTGCATGAAATTCGTGCACTGGGGGCCGGGGTGTCCCTCAGTCCAGCCTAAACCCGCTCCAATCTGGGACCCCTTGAGGGATGTCCGACTGCCAGTTTAGGCACAATTGGGCCTAATCCGGAAGTTGGGCATCCCTCTCACAATCCGGGACCACTCACCTGCTTGCGGCCTGATGCCTGCCGGCCTGATCCCCCTAAGGGCGTGACAGTAAATTAGCATATTCCCTCCTTATTGGCTGTGGGCACTGCCATCTTTGAGGGTGGGGCAGTCAATTAGCATATTCCCTCTTTATTAGATAGGATTCACTGGTTGATTTTTATATGTGCCCTCATCAGGGATGGAACCTGCAACCTTGGGGTATCAGGTCGATGCTCTAACCAACTGAGCTATCTAGCCAGGGCATACTCTCTTAGATATTTCTTCTGATATTTACCTTTAAAGAATATGCTTATCAGCTATTTTAAATTTATTTATTTGAAACCTTATCTATTGATTTCTTGGTAAGATAGATGAGTCTAAATTCACATATACCATCTCTATTTTTAAATCTTCTTCTAGTTTTTATTAATTTTGTAATTTATAATAGTATCTTGCCCTAGCCAGTTTGGCTCAGTGGCTAGAGCATCAGCCTGCAAACCAAAGGGTTCCAGGTTTGATTCTGTCAAGGGCATGTACCTTGGTTGCAGGCTCCTGCCTGGCTGGGCCCTGGTCGGGGCTCGTGCAGGAGGCAACCAATCAATGTGTATCTCTCACATCAATATTTCTCTCTGTCTTTCACTCTCTCTTCCACTCTCTCTAAAAAATCAATGGAAAAATATCCTCAGGTGAGGATTAAAAAATAACAATAATATCTTTAAACTTCTATTTTTTTCTTCATCAACCATAAACTATATCACTAGAACTCTCTCTCTGTAAGATGAAGATATTTATTAAGGGTTCTTTTCCTGTCCTTCAGCTCTCTTCTCTTTCCTATATCTTCCAGTTCCTATGGGTGACTCATTTTTAATATCCTCTTTCATCAATACTAATAACTACCCCTAATCTTGCACTCAGAACTGTGCCTGGCATGTGGTGAGCACTTTACATACCCCAACTCATTTAATCCATAGAACTATATGCAGTAGGTACTATTATTTACTCTACTGTACAGATGAGGAGAATAAGGCCAAGAAGGTCCCTTAACTTGTCCAAAGTCCCCTGGATCAAGGCAGAGTAGGACTGTAACCAAAGCAATTCAGCTCAGAGCATCTGTGCTACCCCTCATTTTTAAGCACCTTCAAATCCCTCAACATCATGACAATGTTCTTAGACATTTGATATTCCTACTTCACAAGAGACACTCTACTCTCAAAATACACTCATTGCAGTTTGTCTCAGTGAATGTCTCAAACTGTTGAAAAGAAAATATGTAAAAAATATGTAGAAAAGAGAATACGTTCTGAATTTTTGTTTTGGCATCTTGCAAATACAACAAGTAAGAGTTAAGAGTTAAGGCAGTCATAACTCCACATATATTTAGCCTCAGGAAAAGAAACTGAAGGATATCCTTATACTCAAAGCTTTTTGCTTCTCTCACTCAACTTATTGGTACAAAATTTTCACTAGTCTCAAACAACAATCCAAGGACGACCTTGAATCCCATCTAGAGCATAAACAGTTTTCTAACCTGATATCATTTGTTAATCATGAGTTCCTCAGCACTTTAGCTGTTCTAAACACCAGATAGTAGTTGTAACTCATAACTTCATTTCAGGAATCAGACTTTAAATGCAGACTAGTAATTCAAGAGAATAATTTATAGCAGAATATTATTTAAAAACATAATTCTTACCAGATTGAACTGTTGCTGTAGTTTTTCATTTGCATAATTTATGCAAAACTGTTCAAAACTATTTATCTCAAATGTTTCAAATCTGTAAAACAAAAAGAGAAGGTAACAAGTAGTTTGTAAAAAATATCCAAAATGTGCATATTAGAAAGAAATAGGAAATTCCCCAACATTGTGAAACTTTCTTACCATATCAGTGAAGATAAAGGTTTATAAGTCAGTACATAGGGTGTATACTGAGAAGACGGGCATCAGCCAAGTGGCAGAGAGATTTTTTAAAATATTCTGACATGTAGATGAACTCATCAGTATAAGTTTTTAAGGGCTAATCCATCCCCAAGTGGGGAACACTTGGTAATATGAAAAAGCCATTGCTCTTTTTTTTTTTAATTTTTAAAAATCTTTTATTGTTGAAAGTATTACATATGTTCCCCTTTTTTACCCATCGACCCCTTCTGGCCTGCCCTCTCCCTCCCACGATTTCACCACCCTATTATCTGTGTCCATGGGTTATGCATATATAGGCATACAAGTTCTTTGATCTCTTCCCACCCACCCACTCCTGCCTTCCCTCTGAGATTCAATAGTCTGTTTTACACTTCTGTATCTCTGGGTCTATTTTGTTCATCAGTTTATTTTGTTCATTAGATTCCACATATGCGTGACATCATGTAATACTTTCTCTGACTGAAAGCCATTGCTCTTGTCAGTGTATAGACTCAGTGTCTAGACACACATAGAAGGGAACTGGGAATAGATATCTCATAGGTTCTTTTGAAAAACTGAAGCAGATAATGAAAAATTAGGCATCAAAAAGCACAAATATAAAGTTAAAGAAGGGTACCCAGAGAAGGAAAACTAGCAAATGACATTAAGATTTTTAGAAATTCTCTTGTAATTTTTCCTTCTTACCAGAAGACAGAATCAAATACCCATTTAAAGTTACTAGAAAATCTCTAAAAATAAATGGTCTCTGGCAGGCCACTAAGCATAATATGCCTACCCATAAATGTCCAGCACGCCAATAAAAGAGTGCTGCTTGACAGCAGAATGGAGCGCTTGATTGACATGATCTACGATCCAGTTAAAGAGCTTGGCATAGATGTGCTTGGCCAAAGCATCGCGAGCATTCGTGGCCTGCAGCTTGGAGATGGGCTTGATGTATGTCTCTGTGGCAGTGGCTAGCTTCCGATGGCAGAGCCAGTGACACATCTCCTCATAGTCCACGCCCATGAGGTCACAGAAGATGCTGAGAGGTTCATGCTTGGGCTGCCAAAAGAGAATGTGATATCTCCAGTGACAAGATCAATCAAATAAGAATTTACTGAAAAATGCTAACAAAGTGGTAACAATAAAACCCAGCAAATTCTTTGTTATAACCAACAACCAAAGCACCGAGAGCTGATCAGTGATGATAATAATCAAAATCATCCATCAAACCAGCATCTAAGCAGCATTTGCAATTTCTTCTAAGGCTCATTTCAAAAATCACCTATCTCTTCAGAGTATTTGTTTGTATCTCTTTTCAGACACATTTATTCAGTCAGTCAATCAGAAAATCATTCGGCCTGTCAACAAATATTTACTGAGAGCCTATTATATGCCAGTAAACAGAAACAGACAGGGTCTTTGTCCTCCTAGAACTTATAGTTCTAGGGGAAATGGATATTCATCAAATAATTGCTCCCCAACATGTAATCCTATTTAATAAAGAGCTAATATGCTAATTAGACTGGATTGCGGAACGACCAGTGGGCAGAGGGTGGGGCCACAAGGCAGCTGGGGCTGCACGGGCTGAGCCCCTTGCACGAATTTCATGCACTGGGCCTCTAGTATTACTATAAAGGAGAAGGACACTGCAGTAAGATTGCAGGTGAGATGCATGTATTCTTTTCAGAGAGGCAGGAGACAGCTGCCTTGAGACATGGAGTTAAGATTTGAAAGACAAGTACATATTAACTCGGTGAAAGGGGGAGGAAAGGGTCTTCCAAGCTGAGGGAATAGCTGATGTAAAAATGCTGCGATGGGAGGGTGACCATCAATATGCAGCACTGAAGTTGAGAGAGGGAGGAGATGTATGTAATGAAGCCAGAGACAGGCAGAGGCTATACCATGGCTGGTCTTTATCCTGATAGCAATGGGAGGCCACTGAAGGGTTTTAAAAAGATAACTTGATAGTTATGTGTGCGACTGCTTACGTTAGAATATCTTTAATCAGTTACATATCTAGGGTATCCTATATAATAAAAGGCTAAAATGCAAATTGACCAAATGGTGGAATGACTGGTTGCTATGATGCACACTGACTATCAGGGAGCAGATGCTCAACGCAGGAGCTGCCCCTTGGTGGTCAGTGCACTCCCACAGGGGGAGTGCTGCTCAGCCAGAAACTGGGCTCAATGCTGGCGAGCAGAGCAGCGGTGGCAGGGGCCTCTCCTGCCTCCACGGCAGTGCTAAGGCTGTCCAACTGCTGGCATCCCCTGAGGGCTCCCAGACTGTGAGAGGGCACAGGCCAGGCTGAGGGACCCCCCCCCCCAGTGCATGACTTTCATGCACCAAGCCTCTAGTAATAAATCAGAAAATTAGCAATGATACAGCTTTATTATCTAACCTACAGATCTAATTCAATTTTTACTGATTGATCTAATAATTTCTACTATGAAAAAACAAACATACAAAACATTTCTATGGTCCAGGATCCAATCTGGATTCATTCAATGAATTTAGTTATCATGCTTCATTAATCTCTTTTAATTTTTTAAATTTTATTTCTTAATTGATTTTAGAGAGAGGACGAGAGGGAAGCAGGGAGGGAAAGCAGGGGAGGAGGAGAGTGAGAAAGAAAGAGAAAGAGAGAGAAACATCAATTTGTTGTTTCATGTTCTACTTATTTATGCATTCATTGGTTGATTCCTGTATGTACCCTGACCAGAGATCGAACCTGCAACCTTGGTGTACCAGGGTGATGCTGGAACCAACTGAGCTACATGGCCAGGATTCATTAATCTCTTTTAATCTGAACACTTCTTCACTCTTTTTATTTTTTCATTTGTGATCTTGACATTTTTTAAAATCTGTCCTTACTCCACTAGAAAGATAACTATTTTTCCCTTTGTAACTAATAAGTATTCTATAGAGAGTGCTATCTTTTGCAGCCCAATACATTATTTTTACTAAAGGCCCAGCACGCAAAATTGCGCAAGACCCAGACCCGCCATGCCAGCAGGACCCCAGACCCGCTGTGCAAGAGTAGCTTGCCACCACAAGGCCTGCCTCGCCGCATGAGCCATGAGCCCCACCCCGCTGCTGTGAACAGCTCGTGGGCCAGGGGGAGGGGCCGAGAGGTGCTCCATGCACCTCCTCGTGACCAGTTGTTTGGTCATTCTGGCATTATGACCTTATGGCCACTGGCCTTTTATAATATAAACTAGTGACCCAGTGCACAAAATTCATGCACATTAAAAG